GATAAAAAGTAAAATAAAACTGATTCATTCTTAAAATGAATTAAGATGCACAAATGACTTCCCCAACCTTAATATGATGATTATAGGTCTAGAGAATTTGCACTACATGTTCTTTTTTGTTTCCAGTGAAGAGTGATTTTTTAAAATTGGATTTCTGTAAATATATCAACTGAAGGTGACTTAATTCAAATTGGAGTATCAAAAGTTGGAAATTCATGATGACAAATGGAGTGTCACTATAATAATCAACAGTTAAAGAAATAGGTATAATCAAATTTATTAATACCTAAAAATGTCAGCTGATCTGTAATTAACGTCATTTGAAAAGCTCTTCATTTGTTTTCCTCAGATATTTTAATACAAGTTTAAAATACTACTTACAATCTCATGAATAACGAAGTGAGAAGATAAGATTACTGTTCTAGTTACTAATATCGCTAGGCGTATGAACAGCTAATAAGAGACGCGAATGAAGTTTGAAAACCGATGCGATAGTCTTAGTTTATAAACAAATGAGTCTATTTGTGTTATCGGCCGTATGTCGTCTAAAATAGTCAGATACTAAACGTGACATTTTTTTCAAATTTTTGGAATAAGTGCACTCTGACGCCATCTTTAATTGCAACTCATGTTTGCTCTTAATGGACAGAGAACTGTTATAGCTATTAACATACTTGATTCAAATTGAAAATTTCGGCTCCGCTACGCTAGACTCCACCTAGATCTTTAACTTTTGACCTCTGCAGTAATAACACTGTCACATTTCGTCTGTGTCTTCACTGTCGCATTTTATCGATCGCCATAAAATCTCACGATTTATGCGAAAATTTACATTACTGCGATAGTAAAATATATGTATGCTGTTGCTGCGACACGATAGTACAATATTATGGGGCGTTGCTTACGATATATCTAATTATACAATATTCAAATACTGTGATTCGAGAAACAGGTATGCCAATAATTATCCTGAACGTAAAGATACCTAAAGAAATGACGTTGTGTGAGGAAGTTGACTTCTAGTGGTGACACTTTCACACCAACAGTAGATCATTACAGAAGAGTTTCATTTGGTGGAATACCAGGAAAATCAAGTGAATTTGCCTAATATACATTTTTATAATTCCACTATTAATAATATTACAATTAAAAATAATTATCCCCAAAACTAATATGAATTATTTTATTCTGGATTGTTTGAATCTGATTTGTTTTGTAGATCACCATGTTTCTTTTCTTAATAAACATTTGAATAGCGATGAATCAATGGTTGATTATTTACGTTGTTAAGGAGGTTAAATTTCTTAACATACAGGTAGGTACAAGTGCACTTAACAAACATGTTGCATGTTAATGGGGATTAATACCGCATGTTACCGATAACATCTCTAACAGTTCATTATTACGAAAATGTAATAAAGAAAAACGTAGTAACATTTTTATGACAGTGGGTTTAATAATCCAAACATATATTTTTTAAAGTGTTACTCCTCAAAAATTTCTGTTTTGAGTCATCGTTTGGTAAGTAGTGGGTAAACAGTAAAGTTTTCTAATAAAAAATGAAAGTGTACCAACTAGGCATCATATCCCGTCGTCCAGGTTGCACTTGTGTCACTCTTCATGTCATGAACTTCCCTCCTTATACTGATTTGAAAAGATATTTAAACAACTAAAATATTAGACATCGTTTTCATTTTTTTAAATTAATTAAATTGAAGAATAGAGACGTGCATATTATAAAGCTACTTGAAAACACTGTTATTTTATGTAGTGAAATATTTGCGGTATTATTTCTGTTTGAGAAAAAAATATATATATATATATATATATATATATATACATATATGTTTTTACGTCCTTGATGTCGCAACGCGTCTTTTTAAACATTATTGGGCGTTGACAGATTTGTCTGGAGTAATCCTCGTTACTGCGTAATTACTATCGTTAATGAGTAATTACTATATTCTTGTCAAGTCTCGTTACGTCGCAGTCAGTCGATGCCTTTTATCCAGTCGGCCAGGGGCACGGCGCCGTTAGATACTCACGAGTTCCCAGACAGTCACCCATCCAGGAACCCGCGAGTCTAAAATTATCTTAACCCCAGTGACTTCACCGAGCGTAGTAAAGAATTCGGCCAGTGGCGTCACTTTCAAATAATTTTATTGATTTAGACTGAAGGGAAAACTGTTACATCTCTTAATAATTGACATTTTTGCGAATCCAGTAGACAAAGAACGTAAATAGACAAACCGCAGTCAGGCGGACAGACGTTTACCGCCAATCCAGCTCCGACGAAACGTGAATCCTGACATAAAGTGTTAAAGGAAGTAATTTACAACATACAGGAGCGAGAATATCCACTTTTTAATCGATGTCATGGATCCACAAAATGAGTTTTTCGGTCGCAAAATTGCGGATTTTTGCCGCAATATTACGATATAGTCTATTTACTACGTACAGTAAAAAACATGTTCTAACATACAAGTACTGTATCTCAGTTTTCAGGAATTGATTGTTTTGAGTTGCATGATCACCACCAAATGTTCACTGAACCAGGTAGTTAACTCCTTATCTTATAACAATTCGTGCCACTTTAAGTGCTCTTTCAATCATTAACATCCATATCTGTCATCGCTGTTGAAGTACTCTTGAAAAAATGTGCATCTCACAATGCCATATCGGTCAATGTTTAGTAATCGCAAACATCTTACATTTTGCATAATGATATCAATTATAGATCTTTGTAATAGCCTGTAGTTTTCGTAACAAAAAACCTATTCACGTTCATTTATTGTCAGAATGTCCAGACGGTCGTTTTGCCGTGAACCAATTTTTAGATATCTTGGATTCAGAAAATGTGGATTCTGCCTACCCAACTGGTTAGATGAAAAAAATTTGTCCACGTTTTCTCTATCAGGGCTCCACATTTTTGCCGCAGCATTGCTACGTAAGTAAGTAGTATGGCGAGTATGTAAAATGCACGTTATTTAGAACTGTATATATACTTTCATATTACAAACAAAAAACAAAAAGTCAACATTCGGGAAAACGGCTTTTAAATATTTCATGCGCTAAAACACTCTTATGTTCTTTTTGTATCTTAATTTGCTGCCTTATCTTTCTTCCTCCTAAATATCTTCTCGTATTCTTCCATTTTGGTGATATCTGTTTTAGCATTAGTTTGTGTTTCAAATCACATTTTTTAACTACTCAGAATTCCAAAGAGCAAAGACTCAAACGGAAGGTATTATAAAAACCGACATATAAACACAACAAAATAACGTACAAAAAATACGTCATGGTAAAGACCTATACAAGTGGCTATGGTCAAGCTAGAAAAAAAAAATAATTTTATAAGATTCTTCGTTATTTTGGGGGTATAATACACCTTAAGCACTGTTCAAAATCCCGATTTTGTGGGTTCAAAACCCTTTTTGGAACATTGAATGTTCCAAGTGCAGAAAATTCTCAGTTTGCCATGGCGCGCTTGCAGCTTGCAAACCAACCCTGGCTAAATGTCAGACAAAATACATTCAAAATAGGAAACTTTTGGTGAAGAACGCAGTTTCCAGTCAACTAACGATTCGTAACTGAGAGAATCTTATAATCCATCGTAACTGAGAATCTTATAATCCATCGTAACTGAATCTTATAATCCATCGTAACTGAGAGAATTTCAGTTTACGAGCCGGTGGTGACGCAAATTCGACCTCATTGTGTCAATGAGGATTACAGATGGTCTCATGGGTTTCATTATTTCGTCCTATCATTTATAGCAGGGCCCCCAAACTCTTTTATTACCACGCCCCCATCTGTCAATAGCAAAACTTCCCACGCCCTCTTGCACATTTATATTCAGTAATGTATAAAACAAGTTTTACATTGAGTAACAATACATTTATTTTTTATTCTTTACAATTTTACTAGTTAATTATGTTTTTTGAACTGTTGTTGAAATGTTCTTGTTTTAGATTAGGTCAAGAAAATACAATACGATTTATGCCTGTTTAATATTACAGATTGAAGTTGAAATTAAACAGGGGACAAGAAAAATCAGTGAGAAGGATAAGCTTGTTTTTTTACCAGATTCCATATATATAT